AATCATTCTTGTGGCCCTACGCTGCACCTTTTCTAAGGCCGCTATGTCCTTTTTAAGATATGGTGACCAAACCTACACACAATATTCTAGGTGAGGTCTCACCAAGGAATTGTATAATCTTAGCATTACCTACCTCGACTGAAACTCCACAATTTCGTGGGTGTCTGTCTGCCCCCCCGCATCAAAGACAAACTCACAAGTGTCACACAGGATTCTGTCATGCTTGCATATTATTGATCGCACATATCCAGAGAAGGGTGTGGTGAAGCGGTCTGAAATCTTTGTGTAACCAGCAGATGTCAGTGTAGACTGCCCTTGTCCTCTTTCAGCCACCGTAGCTCTCTTCCCTGTGGACACACCCCCATGTAGCTCTGAGTGGCTACCCATTCAATGTTGGGTTGCACCATTTTCTATAAAATGCTTCCCTAAGCCATGTCAGGTAGGAGTTTGGCTTTACTGCATCCCTCTGGGTTTGTGCTGTGTCCTGCAGGAAGGTATGTGCGGTTGTCTGGTTTAACCTTTCTTTTCGACAATGTTGCAAGTAGCTTAAAGCTAATATTAGGTTGTTTGGAAAATAGGTGACCAGTGGTGTATCTATCCTGTCTGGGTGACGTGTGGCTGAGCTACCAAGGGTAGTACTGCTGTAAGCTGGCTTTGCATGCAGAGAGTAGGTAAAGAGGGTGCATTTTAATATCTGTGCTTTAACCGAGGTTTGGGTCTGGAAGGACTCGTGAGCACCCGTGCTACAGTGGGAATCTGGCACTGTGCCAGTAGTAAAACAACGCTGTTCTGGGGAGCTGGAGCACGAGGCGTCAGAAGCTAGTACTTGGGCCAAGGAATCTAGATGCATGGAGGTAACTCAGCAGTGCGTTTGGGTGTACTGTTCTGAGCTGTAATTAGACCAGTTAGCTGCATTTATGTTCCTTATATTTAATGGGATGTTTTGGATATGTACCTGATTGCTGTGAGCTACTGTAATGAGTCAATTCAGTCATGTTGGAGATTATATTATATCTGTCTAACACTTGTTTGTTTTACTAGACAGATTTGCTGCTGCTGCTTTGCCTGACATATTTTTATTAGATACTACATTTTAGTTCTGTGCCCTGTAGGGGTAATGACTGTGGGTTTGTTGTGGTAGTATTTTTTCCTTTATATTCTTTGTTGTTTTCTTTTTATAAACTTCTAGTCACCATTTACCTGTCCTTTGGGAAAAGGTATTGGCTGCCGCTATCTGACAGTAGGGTCTTATTCAATTTTATCCACTGGGCCTCAGGACAGGTCAGGTGATCTGGGTCCCCACGCACGGCGCATGCGACTTGTAGTGGTAGTGAGCACTTCTTCTGCTGGTTCTTAAGTGTGGCCGTGAGTTATTCCAACCTTTGGCAGAAATCAAAATATGAAATTTAGTAAAATAAATAAATAAACAAACAAACAGTACAACATGACTAGTAAAAAAAAACACTGTAATGCTTAATTGGCTCAGATGAATAACTCACAAGGAGTGGAGTAACTGTTCTGCTGAAGTATAAGACTTGGACAAGGATGTTAGAAGAAGTAGTTATTAAAATGAGTTCATAATACATTTAAGAATATAACAGCATTTTAACCCATTCAGTAAATTACATGTTAAACTAATGTGCTGACTTATCGTGAACAACAACATCCATGACTGAGTGACGACTCTGCTGAGTCTCAGTTCCTGTTGTGCTGTGTGACAGTGACAGACAGAAGTGGCCAGGATCTACAAAAGTGCCCGGTCCAGACAGCCTAAGAACCTGTAAACAAGGACCAGGTTCCGGAACTTCGGTGTGAAAGCAACTAATAAGGTGAGTAATGAAACCAACAGGTGCAAACAATTCAAAGAAGGAGGTTATTCCAAACTGAGAACTGCTATGGGCCACTGGGCTCTGGTCTGTGACAAATGCAGCCCTCCAGAGCATGTAGATGGAAAAGTGCTTTTATATTTCTCAATTCAATGGCTATATGCTTTTTTTAAACTTAAGCACACAGTAGAATACGGCCCACAGTTGTTAGTCCAAATGATCAGTGCACATCTCTACTTGTAATTTAAAACCGACTGGTTTCCTTTGGCTGAAAGATATTATAGCCTGTAAACTGAATTTTGAATATAAAGCTAACATTACTTCTGCTTTTGATTACAGAGGCGGACTGCAATATATGGGAACTGGTTCTTTACAACCCTAATCGTCTAAGCGATGGCTCACTCTTCCAATGAGGAGGTTTGGATGTAACGTTTCAGCATATGATGCATATTGTTAAGGCCGTAAATACCAGACACTGAAAGACAGGAAAGCTTAAGTTCATAACATGAACAACTATTTTCGGATGAAGCTGTCTGAATATAGCAGACAAAAAGCTCACTCTGCAGTGCTCTTCCTCAGGCTACTTCCTTACCATACCGCACTGCACCAAATGTTACAGACGTACTGTAACAGAACAGAATAACTTAGCAGACAAAAAGCTCACTCTCTGCAGTGCTCTTCCTCAGGCTACTTCCTTACCATACTGCACTGCCCCAAATGTTACAGATGTACTGTAACAGAACAGAATAACTTAGCAGACAAAAAGCTCACTCTCCGCAGTGCTCTTCCTCTAACTAACCTGGTTAAATAAAGGTTTGATGATAACACAGAAAATAAACGCACACTTGTGCTTCTTATAGTAATGAAAGAATCACAGCAGGTGTTTCCTGCAGACATATAAGACTGTGAGCAGGAAACCTGCCTTCTGTTAACAGAAAGGTCAGTGCATGTGTGGGAGTGACCATGTACGGGTTTGTGAATCTCATGGACTCATCTCTGACATTCTGCAGACCCAGACCTCGCTTGCCGACCACTTGCTGCGTTCTCTGGAGGAGCTCACTGAAGAAGAGCTGACTAAGATTAAATATAACCTGACTTACCTGGCATATGAAAAGTATCAGCGCATTCCGAGGGGTCAGGTGGAGAAATTGGACAGAAGCGGCATCGCCGACATGATGATACGTTCCTATGGTGAAGTTGATGGTCTCAATGTCATGCTTCACATCCTGAAGAAGATGAACCAAAACAATCTTTTTCAGAGACTGAGTAAAGACCTGCAGAAGGGTAATCGTATTTTTAACCATTCTTATTTTTTGTCTAAATTGTAACCTTTTTAATCTTTAATCTGAAAAATTAACATATTGCATAGGATTATATGGGAAATGTTGATGTTTGTTAGGTACTGATGTT